GGGAGCCGGGGAGCCGGGGAGGAGACCCCAGGAAGGCCCGGGAGCCGAGGGGACGGTTGTTCTGTGGAGCCTTGGGCGGTCCAGCTCGTAGGCGCAGGGGAGGGGGAAGCCTGTTCCGTGGCCTGGAGTCGGGTGGGATGGTTGGGTGGTTGGAAGGGACTGGAGAAGATCTCCCATCTGCCCTCCCGCTCCAGGCAGTGTCAGCCGACATCCAGGTTGCTCAGGGCCTTGTCTGCCTGGATCTTGAAAGCCTCTGAAGACAGATTGCACCACTTCTCCAGGTGGTCGGTGCCACTGCTTGGGCGTCCGCTCTTATTTCAGCCTGTGTCTGCTGTCCCATCGGCCCGCAGAGCGCTGCTGTGCAGTGCCTTGTTCTGTCGTCTCCCGTTCTGTGCCTTCCCCGGCAGTTTCCTGCGCCAGCTGAACAAGCGCCCGACAGGGCCTGTGCCCCAGCCCCTGGGCGTCTGGACAGCCCTGTGCTGGACTCGGTCCGGTTTGTCAGCCTCTTGGCTGTGTGGAGGGGCCCAAAGCTGGACAGAGTGCTCCAGGTGGGATCTAACAAGTATGGAGTAAGGGGGGCTGATCGCTTTTCTCCGCCTACCGGCCACGCTTCTGTTGGTACAGCCCGGGGTGCTGTTTGCCACCCTCGCTGTCCAGTCGTGTTGCGAGGTCCTGTTCCGTTTGTTGTCCGCAGAGACACCCAGGCCCCTTTCCGGAGTAAAAGCAGCCTTCTCTGTTTTACAGTAAGAGCATCAGAACTGAGAAACGTTTATTGGCACCCTCCCTTCATGTGGTTTTCCTTGACTGTTTCCCAGAATGGGTTTATTAAATCAAATTTCTAAATTTTTTCTGGTTTTATGTAAGATTCTGTGTTGGCTCCTGTAATAGTTCTGTCCTGTGAATAAGTATGCATTACAGCACAGTATTGTGCTTAGGCATCGAGAGTTTTAAAATGATAGTTTTTTAGAGAAGAGTGGATTTCCCCATTAAATGGAATCACGTAAGCCAAATCAGGTGTAACCCGTTCTCCTGAGATCATTTGGTGCTACAGCTGCTTCAGTGGGGGTCTCAAACTGTGTTTTCATGCTGTGACTAACCAGGAGAGAGGGGACAACTGTGTGTGGGCATCAGCCAGGCAGCACTGAGAAACACCTGTGCCGGGTTAGTCAGTCTTGGGTATAAAGGTACTTACTGTTGGATGGTGAGTACAGAACTTCTTTTCTTACAGGCATTTTCCCTTACTGTTAGTAGAATCATAGGACAGTTTGTGTTTGAAGGGACCTTTAAAGGTCATCTAGACAAAGCCCCCCACAGTGAGCAGGGCCATCTCCAGCTAGATCAGGTTGCTCAGAGCCCCATCCAGCCTGACCTTGAATGTTTCCAGGGATGGGGCATCTACCACCTCTGGGCAATGTGTTTCAGTGTTTGACCACCCTCACTGTAAAAAATTTCTTCCTTACATCTACCCTCTTTTAGTGTAAAACCCTCACCCCTTGTCCTGTCGCAACAGGCCCTACTAAAAAGCCTGTCCCCGTCTTTCTTATAAGCCCCCTTTAACTACTGAAAGGCTGGAATCAGGTCTCCCCGGAGCCTTTTCTTCTCCAGGCTGAACAACCCCAGCTTTCTCAGCCTCTCCTCATGGGAGAGGTGCTCCAGCCCTCTGATCATTTTTGTGGCCCTCCTCTGGACCCGCACAGGTCCATGTCTTTCCTGTGCTGAGGGCTCCACAGCTGGATGCAGGACCTCAGGTGGGATCTCACCAGAGAGGGGCAGAATCCCCTCCCTCGACCTGCTGGCCACGCTGCTTTTGATGCAGCTCAGGACATGGTTGGCCTTCTGGGCTTGCGAGCGCACACTGCTGGGTCGTGTCCAGCTTTTCACCCACCAGTACCCCCATGTCCTTCTCAGCAGTGCTGCTCTCAATCCCTTCATCCTCCAGCCCATATTCATGCCAGGGGTTGCCCTGACCCTGGTGCAGGACCTTGCACTTCGCCTTGTTGAACTTCATGAGGTTCACACGGGCCCATTTCTTGATCTTGTCCAGGTCCCTCTGGATGGCATCGTGTCCCTCAGGCGTGTTGACCACACCACTGAGCTTGATGTCACCTGCAGGCTTGCTGAGGGTGCACTCAATCCTGCTGTCTGTGTCTTTGATGAAGATATTAAACAGTACTGGTCCCAGTACAGACCTGTAGGGACACCGCTTGTCACTGATCTCCATCCGGACATTGAGCCGTTGACCACAGTAGTAGTAAAAGGGACCTAATAAATGTTTATAAATATCTCAAGGGTGGATGTCAAGAGGATGGGGCCAGACTCTTTTCAGTGGTGCCCAGCGACAGGACAAGGGGCAATGGCCACAAACTGAAGCATAGGAAGTTCCGTCTGAACATGAGGAAGAACTTCTTCCCTCCGAGGGTGACGGAGCACTGGAACAGGCTGCCCAGGGAGGGGGGGGAGTCTCCTTCTCTGGAGAAATTCAAGACCCGCCTGGACAAGGTCCTCTGCAGCCTGCTGTAGGTGACCCTGCTTCGGCAGGAGGCTTGGACTAGATGACCCACAGAGGTCCCTTCCAACCCCAAACATTCTGTGATTCTGTGAAAAGCCTCAGAAAAGTTAAAATCACATAAAGATGTACGAATTTGAGCTGTCATGCTAGTAAGATACATTTGATTTGTTTCTTTTTTTTCCGGTAGAAAGGTTTTGTATCTTATCAAAGCCTAGACCAAGGTTAATTCAAACCATAAATTACTGGTCATAAATTGAAAAAATTGAGACATTCCACAGGGGTTTGAAGATGACCTTGTCGCTGTGAGGGCAGTCAGACAGTGGAACAAGTCGTTCCAGAGAAATTATTGTATAGTCTCTGGCCTTGGAAGTTTTCAGGATTCAGTTGGGCAAAGCCCTGAGCAACCTCGTGAGAGCCCATGGCTGACCCTGCTTTGAGCAAGAGGTTGAACTGGAGACCCCCTGAGGTCCCTCTCCACCTGACTTGTCCTCTGAGTTCCACTATTTTCCAGAAGGCCTGGCTGTATCTGTGGGGAACAGGTACTGGGTATTACTCCAGTGTGGAATGTTTCACTTTTAAGGAGAACGAAAAAGTATTTTTCCCCTACAGAGGCAGCTGATAGGCTTGTTTCTCTTATGTAGGTCATGATAGGTGTGGTCTTGTAGAACAGAACAGCTTTGTGAAAATGGCACCTCTCTTTTTCTTTGTTCCCCTGGAAGCAGTGGTGGTACCTCTCTTTGCAGAGGTGCTGCTCGTCCCGCTGCTCTCAGTAGACAGCAGGCCTCAGTTCTGCCGTTCCCTGTTCCTGCTTGGTTTACTTTGATGCTGTACTGGGATACTTCCAGTTTAGGGTTCTTGCAGCTGTTTGTTCCTGTGCTATTGCATGTCTTCACTTCAGTGCTCCAGCACACAAGTCTTCTTTAAACCCAGCGAAACATAACTTTAAAATAGGTGTGTGTATATGGATGCACATAGATATGCACGTCTGTGTGTGTATCTAGTTACCTGCTTATCTGTATATATTAAAAAAAAAACCCCACCTAAACACAGTTGCCTTATCTAGGTCTTGTCCTTGTCTAGGTCATATTGCAACCCTGTAAGCTGATGCATTGCTTAGCCTTAAGGTTATCAAGTGACCCTGGGAAGGAATTACTGGGGAGTACTGATTA